CTGCACTTGTAGCACTTTGGGCCCTCCCGCGGTGTCTCAGGCGTTATCACGGCTGCCGCAACCTGTTCCGTGTCCTTCAAGATGTTTCGGGCCCTGGCTAGGAATTCGTCAATTCCCAGTGTGTCCAATCTTGAAGACGCTCACAGGAGCCGACTGGTGTCATCGGGAAGTCCTGCCAGGAAGGCGCACCCCAGTATGCGGTCCGTTGCTCTGCCAAACGGTGCTGATAGCCTTCGCCAATCAGCCAGGTAAGACATCCACGGTCTCACCGGCTCGAGCCGCCGTCTGACGAACTGTTTCAAGCGATGAAGGGTCTATTCCAAAGGCCGTATACAGGGCGTCCTTGATCTCTTCTAGGTCAGCATCGTCCCCAAGTTGTTGATATACAGCGTAGGCTCCTCCGTGAGTCTCAGTGGGATGACCAGTGCAGGTTCCTTTATTTGGACACCCTGCAAACACGTTGACCTTTTTAACCATTCGGCGATAGTCGGGCCCGTGGGGGAGCCGTCAAATTCTGGGATCAATTTTTAGATCGAACTTGTCCATTGCAAATAGCTTGTGGGGAGGTAACGCAACAACTCAACTGATGATAGCAGGTAAGAACAAAGAAAAACCAGTGTCGCCGCGTCCAACCTTCTCACGAGGCAGCTCTCTGATCCCAAACAACAAAACAAGCCTGCTTTATACAGCCGAGGACTGACCACGATTTGCATGCGAATGACGAGACAATGAGATTTCGTGTTAACTAACCAAGACCGCCCGGCATAAAATATGGGCGCCGCCATTTTGGTTCCTTTTACCGTTGGGAGGACCGGAGTTTGCACACTGCACAGATGCGCACGCGTTTCCAAGGTAAGCCATTTTCACAATCTTCCCCACAGATAATCCTAAGGAGCCAGGCAAACCTACCTAGGTTTCACCTGAATGGATCGTCGGGGCCCTGACGATCCATTTAGGTGAAACCTAGGTAGGTTTGCTTGGCTCCTTAGGATTATCTTAGGTTTTGCTTTATTTTTTATTGTACTTTACGTAGTTGCCTTTTACTCGTTTTGGAGGTTTTTTCCTTTGGACGATTGTTTTCACCTTAGTTTAATTTTCTTTGTTCTTTCTTTTTTTATTCCTCATTTATCCTTGGGAACCGATTTGTTCTACAAGTCAAACTATTCAAGGTTTTTCAAAGCAAGTACCACCATATATATATATATATATATATATATATATATATATACACACACACACACACACAGTGTCCTAAAAAAATGTGAATATCTGAGTATCTACAAACAAAATTAAATAGGCTTTCATGTTGAACAATAAAAAATTTTTTTTTTTATATAAATTCTTTGGACACCCTATATATTACAGTAAGTTTCTCAAAAGATAAATTAATTTTCCCACCCAAAGAACATGACAACCCCAACTGCCTAAAAAGATCTCTCAGTTATGTCTTCCAATCTTTCACGAGTCATTAACTTATTTTGCCTTTAGTTATTAAAAAAAAAAAAAAAAAAACACCCATCTAAATACAAACATATTGGTACTATCTGAAAAGAAAAAATCCAGTAACAGTATATGAATATATTGAGATTATGTCTAGTGCCTCTTCATGAAATGGAAGAAGAGAAGAATACTTACAAGTTTTGTGTAGAATGTTTATCATGCTCATGTGTTGAACGCATAAAGATGCTTGCTGAGAATTGTTTCAATGTTGACACAGCTTTTTATTGGAAAACAAACTCAGAGGATTTTTTAAATGATGCATTAAATTTTCTTGATAATTTATTTAGACTATTCTGAATGAAGTTAGTTTCTAGGAAGAAATTTAGAGACTTTTCTATTGTATTTCTAATTGTACAGCTTTATCACAAATTTTAGGTCTTTAAAAATAATTGCATCATAAATATTGTAGCATTTTTATTTTATTATAAATGGACATTACACATGTATTTTTTATTATCACACTTTCATTAGAAGTTTATGTTTCTGCTGCAATAGTTATTGACGAAAATTTTATCATTTTATAAAATAAATTATTGCTAAAGAGGAATAAAAAATAAGTCGTTTACAATATTTATCTGGGCAGCATGGGAATGTGAAAAAATTGTTTCAAATGCATGCTTGAACATCTCATCTAGTTCAAATTCTATCAATGATGCAATGTAAATGTAAATATATGATAGGAAAAGATATGAATAAATAATGTAATTATTTCTCATATTTATTGAAATGTACTTTATTTTATTTAATTTTTGTAAAAATATCTTTAAACTGAAGTTTTGGAAGTTAACATTTTAAATGCAAATTCAGATAAGTATATCCATTTAAAATTTGCTATATTTGTTGGGGAAGAGTGCTCAGTATTGGAGATTGAGCCTTCTTAAATATAGACAGTGTTAATATAGAAATCAGCCATGATAGTGATTGTTAGTTTCACACCTCAAGTGATATAAACAAGAGCACTAAAATGTTTTTGGACTGACTAGCTTAAAATCTCACCAAACACCAAGTTTTCTGGGGGTGAAGAGTCTTTTGTTGAAGCCAAAGACTTTTCAGCACCCACACCAATTATACCTACATGAGTACATTAATATATTCTGAGTTTAACAAAGAGATATAATTTTTTTTAACCTTCTTTTTCAAAGCACTTAATATTAATCACAGAGATCAAAAATTAATTTATGTTCATTTAATAAACTTCATGTCAGGCTTATAGAGTTACTTATTACCCATATATATGTCTGTTTTTGTAAATTTTTAGAACTTTATCAATTGTACAATTTGGAAACAACATTTTTTCTATTTCCTTACTGGGATCTTGTATTTTAATCCAAGTATTGTACTCATCTTTACAATTATTTTGGGGAATTGCATTGTAAAAATAATTAAAACTAATAAGCCTTACACTAGAGCAAAATTAATTGAAGAGAACTGAAACTGAAGACACGGCTTCATTTGAAGAGAAATAGAAAAAGCATAATAAAAGCAAATGAGTCAATGAGCAATCAAAAATGTTGATGCCGCATGCAGCTTACCAATGCTAGAATAATGATGGGGTTCAAGTAGTGAGGAAGAGTAAGGGATGGTCAGTTCAAATGGTAGTAATTGGTTCATGGTTAGAATGTAGTTTACATACAAAAAGCTCAGCCTCCCACTAATGTGTTGTGCTGGTCAGAGTTGGTGAAATTAATGAAAGAGTAGTAGTAGCATAGTCAGGAACATACACCACCCAATGTTTTAGATAAGAATAGGTGGGAAATAATCATTTTTTTTTTTGTTTATCACATCAATTAATACAACACCAAATGTCACAACACAGAAATTGCCATAAGAACCAACTCCAATATTATGCTAGAAATCACTGCCCAGAATGTTTATTAAAAAAAAAAAGCATGGATTCAATATATGGCAGTCAACTAAATATATCACAACAGCAAACAGTGACTAATTGCTGACAATGATTGAAATAATTTAATGAAAGATGCAATGATTTAAATTTATGTTAATGAAGGATTACCTTTGACAATGTGAAATTTAGTTTTCTTACTTTGAACAAAAATATAATTGATTTTAGAAATCTCATCATTGATAAATTGTTCATATTTCGTAAATGCATTAGTTTTTAATAAAATTTTAACATTTAATCATAATATAGTTTATTAATTTAAAGTATATGTTGAGTTGTATTTTGATCAAACTAAGTCTTCATTGCATATTTTTCTAGCCAGTTTGTAGATATCTTCAATTTTGTGATGTATAAATTTCAATGTGTTCAGAACTTTTGGACAGACAAAAGATTTTAAGGGTCAACAGATTCGAGAATTGTACACATTTTGTTACCATTATTAATATCAAAGCTATAAAACAAATTTTTCTTTTTGTTATACCTTAAAACTTTTCAGCTAATAAACCCAAATTTAGTGAGAAAATTCCTTTTATATTGATATTTAAAAAAAATTATATACAGAAAAGGAGCAACTGATGTCAGTTAATGAGAATACCTAGCTACACATGTATTAAAAAATAAAATCTGATTAGGCATACAAGATAAAATGTACTTCATGTCTGGTCACAATATTTGAACAGAATTAGAGAATATACCAATTGAGAGTTTAAGAACTCTTGAGTGACCAGTTATAATAAAACTTTCATCAGATTCTTATTTAATGTCAACTGATTAAGTACTGCTGTTATCTGCTTTAAATATTTCCATCTGGCATTTCCAACAAAGCATTATATGAAAATATTAAATGAAAATAATTGACATTTCCTGCTTTTCAAACCAGGAAATGTCATTTAATTATTTCATTTTAAATTTTTCATTAACTTCAAATCTAGTTCCTTTGTGGTACTATTTCAGTTGCTGGTAAATATGCATAAGGTTTTTGAATAGCAAGAACGATATACTGATAAAACTATCATGTACTCTGAAAATCAAAAATTCTAAAACGAACCAGACGAATAGCTGAGAGCAACACTTAATTTTTTACGATGGGTTATATACTGACAATTGATTAATAACACCTGCCAAGAGAGTTATCTGTGAAACCAAAGTGAAAAGAGTTGGATAAAATTTGAAATAACAATTTGGAGATAAGGTTTACTTAGAGAGTCTCTCTGACGTGTGCTAAAGGATACGAGGGGGCCATGTGGTCTGTATTTGATTTCAGATGACAAAGAAATATAAAACTAATTTGGAGAATTTCTCTGCAGAAGCAACAGGTTTGAAAATAATAAATTTTTGAATTGATTTTTATAATAGAAACACATGGCAGTATTTTGACATTTTGATGAATAACTGTTGCCATGATGCTAGCCGTGAAGCCAGAGATGGATGGAATCAGATAAGAATTAAAAACAAAACATATTGTAAAGATAAAGGTTTTCCCTTGGAAAGGGCCATCTGTTTTTTGTTCAACTGTGAAACCAGGAAAAACCAACACTGGTGGCAAGGTAATAATTCTTTTTAATTAATGAAATTGGAATTAGTCTTCGCTGGGTAGTCAAGGTGAGAAAACAAGGAAGGTGGAGAAGCTGCCCGCACCCACTGAAGGGTAGCAGATGCAGAGGAGACACCAAAGAAGCAGAAGGAGCTGCCCATGCCCATGTAGGGGTATTAGTGGGAGATGCTAAGAAGAGAAGGAAGAAGTTTTGGGGCCGATTATGGCCTACAACCATCACAGAGAAAAGGAGGAAACTTCCAAATTAGGAATTAATTCCCAGAACCCAGGCAATGGAGAAGGGGTTCTTTGTGACAAGTAGAGAAAATGCTAGACACCTCATACCAATTTTGGGCAAGCATCAATAAATACAAATGTCTCAAGTGAGTTCGGGAGAGATCATACCAAGATTTTGTTCCAGCTACTGGGTGCAAGACAACACACATGACTACCTGCAAACGCGAACTCCTGACATCAGTCTTGAGCCAAACTTACCAAGTCAGCTAAATGAACTTTATCATATCTGCAAAACAAACCTAGCCAACTTAAAATGTCACGCCTGATTTAGGAAGCAGGTTGGGTTGACAAACACCTGCATGCTAATACCCAGGCCCTTAACAACAATTAATCAACTATTGTACGTAGTACTTGATATAAAAATAGTATATATATATATATATATTTTATATTATTCGAATGTTATTTTTCTTTTGTTTTCCTGTGCATCTTCACCCTGCTTGAACCAGCTACTTGTGACGAGTCAACCTTGGCCTCCTTATGATCAAAACAAATCACAATAAGGCAGGTCCAGTATCAAAGAGATCACTGCATCGATCAGCTGCAGTCTTGGACGACCAGAAAGGGTATAGGGCAACAATTCGTGCCAATGACCATTGAATTGATCCTAGGTTGACCATGACAAAACCAAGCATCCAGTCAACAGAAAGGAAAGAAACAAGAAAAGGAGTGAGAACCAACAGACTTTGGTCATTTTGACCATACAGTTCTAATAATACACTCTGTAATTTTTTTCTCATCTTTCAATAAACTGATAGCAACCCAGGAAGTGACAAGTAGGACACTTTTTGGTTTACCCCTGAAATTTTTCAAGTTTTTGTCTCACCAAGACGATTTGCTATTTTATTTTGATTTTCCAATTTCTCTTGATTTGAATCAATTTGTTTAGCATGAGTGACCACAGGTCAGAGAGGTCTGAGGTGGTAGAGATCAAGGTCAAGGTGGCGGGGCAATAACCATCAAACGGCCTGAGGGGATTGTTTGGGGGACCCAGGGTTCGAGCCTTTGGGGGAAACTCAAAAGAGCTGAAAGATTGGCTGGCATTAATTAAGAAAGGAAAGCTCATATATGAATTATCTGATAGGGAAACTGTCTATGTGGCATTTATTGCTGCAGTGGGGATAGTTTTGAACTTCATAAGTGATCACATGGTAAGGGATTCCTATTTGACTTGGAAAGAGCTGGAGGAGCTACTTATAGAGCAATATGCTGATGAGAGAACAGCAACTGAAGCCATGAGAAGCCTCATAAAGCTGGTGCAACTGAAGGAAGAAACCTCTGGGGAGCTAGGAATTAGGGCGGAGAAGCTGACCACTCTGGCTTTTCTGGAAGAAGTGAGAAATGATGCCATCATGCAGGCCCAGTTGGCCGATATGTATGTGGAGGCGCTCCAGAATGAGCGTATATGTGAAGCAAGAGGAGGTAGAGCCAGAGTAGTAGGAGGAGACTCCTGATAGAAGAGCATGGACTCTGGGACATAGGTTTTACAAGCCAACGCAGATTGGGACTAATTTGTTGGACCTGTAACCACAAGGGCCATAGGGCAGTGGACTGTTCAACAAAGTGGGGACTACCCCCAAATTTCTACAATTACAAATGCACTAGGTGCATCATAAGGGGCATAAGACAAAGTAGTGCAGAATTAGAAAAAATGCCCTACCAACCCATGTTAAAAAGCCTTCTCCAGGAAAACAGAACCAGGGCAACACCGGTGTGCCACCCCAGAAGTAAAAGTGAGGTTGGCCCATGCAAAAAGGAGAGGAATGAGGTGCTGGGCATGTGGCCAGGTTGGCCATTTCTCCTCAAATTGCTGCAGGTAACCAAGGCACCTGAAGAGAAACTACCCTCAAAAGATCAGAAGGGAGGAATTCAGGAAAACCCAGCCAGGGGCACCCAGGCATGGAGGAAGACGGTTGGGGGCCCCCACAATAATGATAATGAGGGGTTACTACTACCAGCACCCATGTCCGAGTGGGCAGAGAAATGTTACCCCAGGCGAAGGACGGCTAAGGTGTTCTCCTTATTGACTCAGGAGAGAGAATTCACCTGTGAGACGCTAATAGGAAGAACAGTAATGAGGGCTTTAATAGACATGGGGGCATCAGTATCCTTACTGAGAAAAACAGAATATAGGCGTTTGAGAAATTGGGGTGGATGAGGAGACCACATATAGAAATTACTCAGGCAGATGGGGGCCCCATGGAAACAAGGGGGATGGTGAGACCCCCAGTGAGCGTAGGAGGGACGAAAATGTCCAGAAGTTTTATGTGACCTCCCAATTTGTGTGCAGAGGTAATTTTGGGAGAGGATTGGCTGCATTATCATAGGGCTGGAACAGAATTTAACCTTACTGTGTTAGTGGTGAATGACACAAGGTTACCATTGGGGAGCCCACATGATAGGTATATGACAGTGGTGGAAGAGGAAGATATAAAGCTACCCCCTAGGATTGTGGTGTCGAATAGGGGTGGGTTGGTGACAAGGAAAAGGAAGAAGGGGGTTGTTCAGTTGGTCCCTGTTGAGGAAGTTGCCCTGTGAGGTAGTAGAAATAGTACCCATAATGCTGGTAAACCAGGCCAGCAAGATGGTTAGGAGGAAGAGGTAGAAATTACCTTACTTTTGAGGACCATACAGCAAGTAAAGCTTGACAAAAAGGAAGAAAGGGGTTAAAAGCAGGTAGAAGGAATAAAAGATGAAAAGATAGTGGCCTCTGATAGGTTTAGGGCCAGAGTAAGGGTCAACTGTGAAGTGGTGGCCACTTTGGATAAGGAGTTGGGCCAGACCCATACGGTGAGAATGAATATTGATACGGGTGATCACCCACCAATCAAGCTAAGGCCCTATTAGACATCCATTCATAAGAAGTCCCTATTGGAAGAAGCGGTCCAGGATATGCTGGAGGCGAGAATGGTTGAGAGATTTGAGTCTCCCTGGAGCTTCATCATAGTGGTGGTGGACAAAAAAGATGGCGGGCAAAGGTTTTGTGTGGATTTTAGGGAACTGAGTAACATCTTCAAACCTTTGGCAGCAACCCTACCACTGATAGACATACTCGCTCTGCTGGGGAAGGCTAAATACTTCTCCACCACAGATTTGATATCTGAGTACTGGTAGGTAGCCCTTGATGAAGCTGACAGAGAAAAGGCCGCATTTGCATGTCACCTGGGACTGTTCCAGTTTATGGTCATGCTGGTTGGGTTAGCCAATGCCCCGGGGATTTTCCAGCAGTTAATGTCAATAGTACTGGGGGGAATTGAGAATTTTGCCATGACCTACCTGAACGACATTCTGGTGTTTTGACCACCTGAAACAAGTACTGGGACGATTGACAATTTCAACTTCAACCTGTGTTCTCTCAAAGTGCCAGTTCCTAAGCGGGTAGACCAAGTATCTAGGATTTATAATAAATGGAAAATGGATTAAGCCCAACTTAGATAAAGTGATAAGGGAAATGCCTGAGCCAAAGATGGTGAGACAAGTAAAGGGATTTATAGGGGCTATAGGTTACTATAGATACTTCATTCCAGCATTTTCTAGGCTAGCAACCCCTTTGATAGCCTTGACAAAAAAGTATGCCAGGTTTAAGTAGACAGAGTACTGCCAGAGGGTGTGTGACACTCTGAAGGATCAGCTGATTGCTTTACCTTTGCTGACGTATCCGGATTTCAACAAGCCCATATATAGATGCCAGTGAGCAATATATAGGAGCAGTCCTTACCCAACCATGCCCTGATAGGGATGGTACAGTGCCCAGTAGTATACAGGAGGAGGTACTGGGAAACTTTCTGTCACACAAGCTCTCGAACACACAGCAAAGATGGCCAGTCATAGAGAGATATGCATACGCTATTATGTATGCCCTCCAGAAATTAGACTATTAATTAAATGGGGCAATATTTATCAAGACTGACCATAGGCCTCTCCAATGTTTATTGGAAGCAGAGTGGACAAACAAGAAAATACAGCAGTGGGTGCTGAAATTAAGCAGGTATAATTGTAAGATAAGAGTACCTGCCCGGAAAAGATAACACATGTGCAGATTAAGGCCTAAAACCGTCACCAAGAAAAAGGGGAGACTTCCAAATTAATTCCCAGAACCCAGGCAATAGAGAAGGAGTTTTTGTGACAGGTAGAGAAAATGCTAGACACTTAACCACCTCACACCAGTTTTGGGCAAGCATCAATAAATATGAATGTCTCAAGTGAGTTTGAAAGATCGTCCAGAGAGTTTGTTCCAGCCACCGGGTGCAAGACAATACAAATAACTATCTGCTGATGCAAACCCCCTACATCAACCTTGAGCCAAATTTACCAAGTAAGCAGTTAAGGAGCAGGTTGGGTCAACAAATGCCTGCATGCTAACACCTGGACCCTAACAACAATTAACCAACTATTGTACGTAGTACATGATATAAAAATAGTATATATATATTTTAATATTATTCAAGTGTTATTTTTCTCCTGTTTTCCTGTGCATCCTCACCCTGCTTTGACCAGCCCAATACGAAGCTACTATGACAAGTCAATCTTGGCCTCCTTATGACCAAACCAAATCACAATGTGGGATAAGGCAGGTCCATGATCGAAGGGATCACTCCATTGATCAGCCATGGTACTGGACGTCTTGGACAACCAGGGAGGGTATACGGCAACACCTTTAATATCAGTATTCACGAAAATGCTATACTTTATTAACTCTGATAAAACACATACCATTATAGCATGCCACCATTATGAAAAATGCAGTATCTATAGTGTTTTTTTCCTAAGTTGAATTCTATCAATGTGATTAGTTAGCACAACTTACAGTTTTTGTTATAATTAATAGGTGTGTTAGTGACTGATTACTTAATATAGCTAGACAAACCATTTTAAAGTTTAAATATTTATCC